TCCGTGAGAACAGCTGTGGATTTCTAAACTTAGCAAATCACCTAAATTTAGTAAAGCTTAATAAAAATGAGTCATCCAGTTTCATTAAAAAATCATTTAATACTGGAACTTACTGGATGGCTTTGACAAAGACTGGTCAGAAACTATGTTTACAATGTTTTCATGATTATAATATTTTGTTCCTAACTGTGAAAACTCATAATCTACAAGTTGGCATCATGTATTAAAATCTAGATCAGGAAAAGACCAATTTGTAGACATACAGAACTAAGGACTGTAAGTTAAGGGTGAGAAATCATGTCGGATCTCCAGCTGAGAGCTGGTCATGGCAAAAAGAACAGTACGATCATAAAGAACATATTTGTAGCTCTCTGATTTGTACCAGTTCTCTATTGCAGTGATTCATCATTGCAGTTCTCTAACTATAGTATGGAACAAAAAAATTTAGAAATGGTGTACATAAGCCAGGGGACATAAAGAATTTCAGGCACCTTTGTCCTACTGAAATAATAAAAACTTTAGAAATGCCCTAAGGGGTCAGTTCTGTGGTCCATCTAGTTCAATAGCCTGTCTCCAGCTGTGCCCATGGGAAACACTATTTACAAAGAGCACACAGACCTGGACACTACCTGTGGTTTAGTCCCTCCATACGGCCCCAACATTGACAGTTGCTGGATTAAGGAAAGTTGGAGGGCACACTGCTAGTCTTAAAGTCTTATGAGGGAAAAAAACCCATTTATTTTACAAAAACTGCTAAACACAGGCTAAGCTAAACTTGAAATGGCTTGGACCCTTCCAAGCATCGTTGAAAAAAACAAAACCTAGAGTCTGTCACAAGAAAATGTAAACAGTCAAAGGCTTTCAAAGTATATTTATGATCCTTTATAGAGATATGTCATTCACTGTTCTTTTACAGCATGCTCCTTTTTTCTAGGAAGCATACAAATGAGATTAGGTTTTAACTGCTAATTAATAGCGTTCCACAGTCTTCTGACAACAGAGGAAATTCTTCAGTGACAGCTTTGCTCTCCCTTACACCTACTTTTAAATGACTTTTATCGTGCTTTCAGCAAAACTATAGCTCTTAACAGGGACCTTGGTATCACAGATGGAAAGATTCAAAGATGGGACTTGAACACAGAAGAGGCAGAAAATCCTTCAGTTATATTTTACTTCAAAACCTCTACCTATTTGGGCTGAAGAGAAGAAAATTATATTTTCTCAACGACATATCCCTGTATTTCACAAAGATGTGCCCAATGTGGTTTGTGTACTGCATCAAGTGTTTAAATGTTGTAAAAAATGACCTGTCCACTTAATTATTTGCAAGTCTTCATTAATATACAAGCTAACACAATCTTTAAAGAATACCTTATTAATAAATAAAAATTACAAAATGAGTCTTCCAGAAAAGATTCCTCATAAACTCATAAGTGAGGGTATTTTTAGTCACTTGAATCTCTTTAGTGTATGCTGTGTTGCTTTTATACAGTAATTTCAAAATCTTGCTGATTAGTACTGAGTCAAATGCCTCACAGAGGCTGTCATATCAGAACAACATTAATATAGTAGACTTGTAATTTCATAGGAAAAACATATCAAGTTTTTTTAACAAGATCTGATTTTTTAAAATGTGTTGATTGACATAAGTATAGTACCATCCTGTGATTTCTTATTGACTGGGTATTGTATTACCAACTCATGCATTATCTGCAGTTCTTATTTACTTTTAGGCCATTTTATGTCATTCTCACACTGCGAAGGGATGTTAGAATGAGTGTCAATGTAGTCTGTGCTCTTTTGAACATCCATTTAGAATGAACAAATGAAGAAGAGAAGCATGTTTATTTTTATGTAACTTCGTATGTGTTTAAAGCTGTGGGCTTCTCTGAGAGCTAGTACAGAGTATCTCAGATGCCAAAAAATATTACATCTTCCCAAGTGAAAGGCAATAATTGAAGTACCTATCTTCCATCTCTCACTTTAGAGGTTTTCTTCACTCTTTCTGCTACACAATGGTTATGGACGTGACATCCTGTTATTACATGAAAAAGTGGAGATTTCCCGGAGATAAAATCTCAGTTAATGCAAAGACCTTTCGAGCATATATCCCTGGGAAGTCTACCTAAAAATTCTTCTGAAGGAGAATCTGAAGCCAAGACATGTTAAACAGATTGTATTTTGGTGTTTTCCAGAGGTAGCCTGAATCCTTATATTCTAACATGAATGATTTCAAATTCCTTTCTGCTTTCTTTTCTATTTACTTTTCAACAGCATGAATTTAGTTTACACTAGTTTAAGAAAAATTTAGACTTCTGTTGATAGTTGTTGTACACAAAGAGAAGGCTTAAATATGTTACTGTCTTTAAACACTTCTGCTGATTGTGTAGCAGAAATGCTGATAGAGACTTGTTAAGGATTCTCTTTTGAAGAATAGAACTGAAAGGGTCCAGAAACAGACTATACCAAGCCTGTCAGTGTCACATCAGGCTGACCAGAGCATCTCAGGAGAATTGAGAAAACCTTGGAAAATGACACTAGAAATGCACTTACGGCACTGAGACACACAAACACATGAAATCGTGGTTTTCATATAAGAGCTGTTATATAAACATAAAAAATTTTTTGTTTGATGTATTTTTAGTACATATGTATGATTGTAATAGCAATATTAATTGTGTCTGCTGACTTGTAATCCATTTCACCCAATGCAAATCCAACACTGGCAGAACGACATAGACAACAGTGAAGGTAAAAGTGTTTTTTTCAAAAATATCTATGAAAATTAGTGACATGCCTCACTGAAATTACATACAACACTTTGATGAATACCTTAGGGCTTGACTAAGGACATAAAGATACACATGAGCTAATTTATGTCAGTGAAAAGTAGCTGAAGCTAAGCTGCTTTCAGTATCTGACCTACTTCATCTACTGCTGTCGATGTCTCTACATTGTGCTCCACAGGGGAGAAATACCCTTGGACATTTTTCAATATCCCATCCATAGTCAGTGGGATCAGCGGTGTCAGTGAAGAATTTATTTTGTTGGCAGACTCTTGAATTCTGATGATAGTGCATGTAAACAGTAATCTAGTTACATGTCAGCTTCTGTTGGAAGTTTTGTTGGAAGATTTGCAACTATGCGAAGCATCTTTTTACTTACAACTTAAATTTGATTCAAAAATCATTACTGCCCAATAAACAAGAAACACCACAATATCATTTTATAGTCACTTTTCAGAGCATAGAAGTTAATCTAACTCTACAGTTACACTGTTACTGTATATTACAAAATATGTGATGTACACTTACCTGCAATATAGGGCCAAAGTTATCTTAAACTTTGTATTTTTATGACTTTTAAAGCCTCCATGTTGGAAACTGCATGTAATCCAGTGTAAAATATTTTACTTCCTTTAAATACACTTGATCACTATTTCAGGAATATGTACTGCAGAAGGATTTATCCTTGCACAGGATCCCAGTAGAAAAAGTACTCCACAAACATTTCTAAATAGGTCTCTACCTCTAAGAACAGGCTACAAAGTTCATCCGTCTTCCTTCTATAATAATGTCCTTACTCCACTGCTTTCTGACCAATTTTACTTATCTCCAGCTATGCAAATACGGCTTTTTTTGCATGTTCTGCAAAACCTGGTAATGGTCCTTCCTGAATCAATCAACTGAAAACCTAAATATTGCACCTCTGTGAGATAGTCTCTGGTATTATCATAAAAATCACATGGGCAACAGTAGGTTGGCAAGCTATGTTTGATGTTTCTCCTCCCTGTGCCACATAATATATGTGCATAATTGCTCAAGTGCCATCTGGTTGCAACTTAAGATGTGTTGCTCATTGATAATGAAAGCACTGATTTGGTCCCACACATGAAATAGAAGTGTGTTTAATGTAAGACTGCATGATTTTGTAGTACCCTCATATAAAAAAAGAGCAATGATTTGTCAAAATCTTTTAAGAAGTGTGCATTTAATAATAATTTTCCTAAATGAAATAAAATATGACTGAAAATTACCTGATTGTTTTGTGATTGAAAAATTTGATTTTTGCTATGAGTATGGAGTGGCAGTGTGGAGCCTTCAACCCATGCTATCACACACTATAGGGCTTCCCTGACACAGAGAAAATGGAAGAGCGAGGTTCAAAGGTTGCTGGGGCTCAGGCCAGTGGCTGCTGCAGAAAATGGCAAGACTCCCTTTGACACAACTGTGTATTGCATTGCCCTTGTCTCCCAAAACAGGGGAGTGGTGTCAGAGCAATTGGAAAAAATCCCAGGAAGAAGTGAAAAATGAGCAAGGACGTGGTAACATTATTCAAATGCACAAAAGACTTGCAGATATGAAAAAAAAAAAAAATCCTTTTCTTCATGTCCATTGATAGTACAAAAACTAATGTGATTTAACTGCAGCAAGTGAGATTTACTTTAAAGCAGAAAAAAACTCTTTAATGATCAGGGAGTGACTAGCAGGGATCTATTGCCTGGAGCAGTTGTCAAACGTCCATTAAGAGAGGGGGGGGTCTAAGAACAGGATGAACATATACCTGCCAAGAAAAGCTTAGGTATAGTCCATTCTGCCATGGAGCAGGGAGATGAAAGAGTGACCTCTGAGATACTTCCAGCCCCTGCTGTGGTCCTCTGTATTCTGTGTGAAGACTTCTCATCTTCCATGCCTTTATACCAACATTTGTGCATAACTTGTCATTCAAAGGAGCAATGCCCTTAGCAGTTCTTCCCTTTGACCTGTATTTGAGATGAGAAAACAGTGAAACACTATATATTTTGTTTTTTAAGATCAGTTTTATAATTTGCTTGTCAACCTGATAATGTCCATTTTAAACACAGCTTACTGTAGTTTTAAATGTGCGCAAAAGTGATAAGGGAGGTGACTAGAAGCTTATTATTAATTTGCTGCTTTTATCTTTGGGAAATTAACATTCTGGCAAGGAATTTAATTGGACTTTTTTGTTAATTCTCACAGTGATGCTTTGGCTTTTCCTTTTGGGACTGGAGAGAAAAACCAGCATCTGGTGTTTGAGGATGCTAGGGATTTACACCATATTATGTGTAATATCTCTACTGTAAATAAACAAAATGAATAATTAAGTGAATAATGAGATGTCCTGAATGAAGACTTCTCCGACTGTATCTATGGAGTGCTTGTACTCCTGTCATTTGTTCTCTGTTGGGCATCTTGGTCACTGTGCCGCCCATATGGATATTAGCAATCTATTTTTTTCAAGCAGAGGCCAGAAATAATATTAATGAAGTTTGTCAGATATGCAGAGGGTCTTTTGCTCCTCAGTACTGTATCTGTCTGTATGAGTCGGTAAAAATTAAGAATAATAGAATTTGTGTCATGGCTCTGAGGACACTGACAGGCCTGGCTGCCCCTGCCCAGCCTTCCCCAGGGCCTCCCCCACCCTGCCCGGGACCCCACGTCAGCCCCCCGGGGATGTCAGCCCCCGCAGCAGGGCGGGTCTCCCCCTCCCCACAGCCCTGCCCTGCCTGACCATGGGCCCTGCAAAGTTGGGGTCACCTGCAGGCCCATGCCCCAGCCTAGCCTTGGCCAGTCCTTGTCCCCAGGGAGGTGCTGGATGCCGATGGCCAGGGCTGCCCCCGGTGCCCCCCAGCCTACCCTGTGGCCCTGGGACGGGCCTCGCCTGCTAGGCCCTGCCCTGCTGCCCCAGGGACCACCAGGCCGTGCTGCCTCCACGGGTTCTGAGCTGGTTTCTTTGAAGTTCGGAAGAAATGTAGAAGAGCTACATTGGAAGCGTTGTACAGTCTGTCCTGACGCAAACCCGAGTTCTGTGTATTGTTGGGGTATTTTTGTTTTCTTGCCATGGGGACAGACCCAAGGGTTTGTTCACCTCCTGGATGCAGACGGTCTCCTGCACTGGGCGGTCACACAGTCCTGCTCTGCCACCCAAAGCAACGCCAGGCCTCCCCTGGGGCAGAGAAATACTCACATTCTTAGATCCCTGAGGTAATGTTGCCATTAGCATCCTCACAAAAAATTATCATCAGCTCCTCCCCAAAATGCCAAGACTTGGCAGCATATTGGACATAGATGCTGTCTTCTATACGTAACAATTCTGCAATGGATAGTGGTAGGAAATATTCAAATTGCTGGTATGTCAGTGGCACGAAAGGCAGCTCTTCCCATGGCCTGTGCAGCAACTAAGGACAGAGTGAGCGGCAGGAGCTGCTTGGTTCACAGACCTGCCTCAGCTATTGCCAGACAATTGCTTATTTTATCTATTCCTTGCATTTTTAAAAAAATAAATTGGAGGTAATCTGATTTGCTGATTTCACTTGCTTTTACAGAAAAAAAATGACAACACGAGTGACTACTCAGTACCTCTGTAAATGTGTGGCATCAGACACAGTGAAGGCAAGATTATTTTTTTCCTTTGAGCACTTTATTAACATGCTTGTGATTAGCAGTGAACAAGCTGAGACCTGGATTTCTGCTGCTGTGCTGAGGCAACAGGAGACACCTTCCTCAGCCAGATTTCAAGTGAACTTTCTGAAATCTACAATGGGGCAAAAGCCACATGAGTCCACAGAAGAACATCCCCATCTCCTGGCAATTATTCTTTAGGTAGATTACTGGAAACACCTGACACTGGGGCTGCTGGAAGGTGTGGCTGGAATTAATATTATCTCAATTTCAGCTTTCCACCTTGAATGTAGCTGCATATAAGTAGAATGCAAAGTGATTTTTATGTATATGTGATATGATAATTAAACTTAGCACTTTCTCAGTGTTTGCTATTTAGAACTGTAAAGGAAAGCTAAATTAATTGCCAAGGAGACAGTGAAAATTAATGATGGGGATAGGACTCAGAAGGGCTGTTGACATCTGGGCTCAGTGCTCTGCTGAACACCCCATCATTGTTTAAAATCTGTTAATATCACCTTAGGTGAGCATCCTCAGCTTTCCCCCACAATTCTATTGGCTGCTAGCTATGCTTTTGTGCCTTCATTTCCAGCCCAGTGCCAGACATGCTCTTCTCCTCTCAGGGACTGTTGTAGATGTTCCACCTCCTTGATCTGTCCCCAGATGCCTGTGCCCACTGCCAGTGATCAAGGTACCTGGTTACAGGTATGCAGTCCCCCGACTTCTTATCAGCTACTTAGGGAGGATAAATTTTAACACCTATGCCAGAAAACATCCAAAGTTGTAATAAATAATGCCACTGTCAGCGATGGAAAAACACATAAATCTCACTCTGAAACACGACTGTACAAAAACCAAGTCAAAAAGCACTGGTGCTCTGCCACATCATCACTAAGATTTGATGAAATGACAGCTCTTGAAAAAAAAAAAAAATCTTCTCTCTGCCTTAAAACACAATCTTATATAACAACTCATAGTCCCAGTAACATGGTATGAAACCCTTAGACATCACAACTATACAAAGTATGGTTTGTCCGATGTTAAACCACCAGCAAGGACAAACTATTTTTAGAGCTGTCATATATTATTGCACCTGAGCTTTATCTGTCTTCTGATTAAAAGAGGTTTTCCTTCAGAGAAGTTCACCTGAATTTTATACTCATTTACTAAGTCTTACATTCCTATGCAATTTATTTTAAAGCAGATTCTTTGGGGAAAATTACAAAGCTAATTTGAATTGATTCTTTGGAGATTCAGGCTTAAATGAAGTGCCATAAAATTGGCAGTCAAAGTGAAAAAATAGAATTGAATTTTATACTTGTATTACTCAGTGGACACAGGCACCTTGCACTTTACTGCTGCTGAGTGTTTTGATGTAGTATATTTCAGATAATTTAAACACACCTAAGCATTAAACTTCACTGAAGTTTTGGTTACTAAGTAACCACAGTTTTCCTTGTTCAAATATATTTTATCAGAGTACAAATTTATGCTGGCAGGTTCACAAAGTTAGACATTCTCTCTGTTTTTTCAGAACTAATTCTATAAGGTCCTAGTAGTGTTAATCCTAATTTTGAGTAAGTAGAATAAATCCTGCATCTGTAGGACATCTGGAAGATGGTACTTTAGCACCTAGTTGTGGACTTGTCAGAGTAATGTTCCTCACCAAGAAGCTCCCTTTTCTTCATTTCCAAGTCCACAGGCTAACATTTGAGTAAAAATACTGAGCTGGTTTGGGTGTCCAGCAGTTTGAGCTTCCAATGTAAAACATTTTGTAAAAGGTCTGCTGTTTGGGTGGCAGATGTGTGGCTTTTTTCTGAAACCATCATATTCTTTCAGATTTTAGGATCCCATATTACAGGGTATCTAAAATCATTAACATTTTCAGACAACTTAAGCCACTATTGTAATTCATTATCAAATGAGTAAACATTTGGTCTTACAGGTTTTCTGTCACCAGGTTAAGTCTGAGGGTTTTTTCCCATAAAGCCTGTAGACATACCTAGAAAAATGAGACATTTTGCTTAACAGAATTTATGTTTTTCTGTTACTGTTTGATGCATTTACAGCTTGGGAAATTCGCACAAATAATGGCTGAAGAGCTGGTTGTTCAATTTCCTGTCACATAAATTACTAGGTAGATGTTCATTACTCCATCCCAGCACCGTGCTTCCAACATAATCGGAAGCAGAAGTGAGGATATGAAAAGGCATGCTGGAGAAAACTCCAGTCTGCACTATTATTTGCTCCACACACATGGTCCTATATTAGAAATGACTGTTATTTTGTATGAGTAAATAGACCAAGAAATACTTTAAATAAGAAAAAAAATACTGCTTTGTTTCAGTAATCTTTACATGAAAAAAAAAAATTTAGTGAAAAAAGCCTTCATTCCCAGGATTATTATCTGATGTGTTCTGGTTTCCAAAAAGTATTAGTCAGGAACAGACATGTTTATTTGCTTTGGCTCCCATTGTAAGTGTTGAACACCTGAAGTTAGACACCAAAGTTGATATTTAAATATGGAAATGAAAAACTCCCAATCTTTTGCACATGCTAAGGTGCTACAACCTCAACAATCTCAGTGGGAGCTGTGGATGCTCAGCATTTTGAAAATTTTGCTGTTTAAAGTGAGGTGCTAAGTGAAGGAGATGGATATCTGACTGCCTTGATAGCACTCGAATGCTCCCTGGAACGGTATGGAAGTGAGGGGGATGCGATGCTGCACTTGTTTGCTGTGATGCTGAGCTGACAGAAACCCACGGACTGCTCTCTCCTGTGCCCCCGACTTTCTGAAAGCAGAGCTTGGCACCTGCTATACAGAAACTTTCTTCTCCCCCCTTTTGCTTAAGACATTGAGCAGAATTTGCCAAGATGCTGCCACTTACAAGTGTATCTAGTTGTTGGGCTCTGGGAAGCGGCACGTGGTGTGTTATCTCATTCGTAGGGCAGAATTTTGATAGACTGAGCCGATCTCTGGATCACTGGAAGTCCTTTACCATCTGTCATGATTACAAAAAGAATAATGCTTGCCCAAAGACAGAGACCTGTCCTCAGTTTATATGAATGGCTGAGAATCTGAAATTTTCCTCTTTTAAAAATAGAATTATTTCTGAGTGCTGCATGCGTTAAGAATGTAACAATGTGAAGGATAAAGAAAAAAAAAAAAAAGTAAATTTTATCCAATTGTCTTTGCATTGCATTTCTGTTCTTACTCCACCAAAAGCCCAAGTGTCCCCTCTCCATGCAGAGCAGCACTTTGGGAACTAGCACTTAACCTGTCATTCAACCCTGACCCAGGACCATCCCTCTCTTTCTTGGAAGTGAGCATGTGAAAAGACACCAGCACTGTCCCGTCCTTAAAGCTTTGTCTTATTCATATGATATAATATTAAACTAAAGCAGGACAACTTTTTTCAATAGATAAACTCAGCTTTCTGGCCCAAAATGGAGCACAGCGTTTAGAAAACAGCATCCCTCCTGCCCCTGTTTCCCTGCAAAGTACATCCTTCCCTCAAACCTGTCTTTCCATTCCATGATTTTCAGTGGATTTTTAGGCTGAGCAAGCCCATGAAGCTCTTCCAGTTTCCTGGAAAAACCTGCGGCTCCCTGGGTCCCCGCAGCTCTGGGTCTGCCC